GATGGTGGAATTAGCAGAGGCTCATGGTAAATACAGCGGGGGGGGGGGGGGGGGTGCCAGATGCTTGGCTGTGGGGCTCCTGCCCTGTCCGCTCTTCCGTTCTCCTTCCCTCCCTGCATTCCGGATCCGCTGCACACGGATGCCTCTTCAGTCTCTCGGCTCTTCCTCAGACGGAGTAGAAGCAGCCATAATGGCCCTTTGTCAGTGTTGTTTTCCTCGTGCTGTTGCTCAGGTTCTGGACAGAGGGATGCCCCCCCCCACCCCCAGACATGATCAGCCAAGCGGCTGTATGCTCGGGTGGATTCCAGCTCCTCTTCATCTCCTCGGTTTTGTGACACTCTTCACGTCTCGCCTCAGCAGAGCGTCAAACGCGGGGGCTGCCAAAGCTCCCCCCCCCCCTCCACTAGTGGCCCCCAGCTTCTGGCATCCTCATCCAACCACTGCTCAAGCCCGAGTGACAGGAAGCAGCAGTGCTAAAAACGGACCTGCCGCCACATAACACCTGCTCTTCCCGCCTACGCCCCCATCCCCCCCCCCACCCCTACTAGCACACTGACACTGTATTCGGGAGACGGGGGTGTGGGGGTCCCCCGCTGATCTGAGTGATGACTGTCCCTCTCTGCGTGACCTTCAGCGTTACAGCCCGGGAGATTAAAGGGCGCCTGTTATTTATGACTCAGAGGAAGCCGAATAAGCTTTTAAAGCGGAAATATATTCCCCTGGCACTTAATCCGCTTTTGTCTGCGGTAGTTTTGTTTTATCCAAAGGTAATGTGTTGCTGGGAAAAGGCTTGTGTGTGTGTGTGTGTGTGTGTGTGTGTGTGTCTGTGTGAGACCAGATTTACCTACAATACTACAATAAATGCCTATAATGCTTTACCTTGTGGGGACATTTTTCTACTCCTACAAGGATAACCTCAATTTATGAAAATCTGTAACTGTGGTCAAAAAACTATAGATGCCAAAAGTCTTGTATTTTGTTTGGTTGCTTATACTTAAGGGTGTCATACCTGGATTAGGGTTTTCCCCACAAAAATGAATGGACAGTCCCCGTAAAGCAGGGGTGGGGAACCTGTTCCATGGAGGGCCGGTGTGGGTGTGGGTTTTTGGAATGACCTCACAATCAACCAATAATAAAGCAGTGCTTCACAACTCCAGTCCTGGGGACCCACTGTTATTGGCTAATTGAGAGGCCATCCCAAAAGCCCATGGAACAGGTTCCCCAGCCCTACCGTAAAGGTATGAACACAGACTTGTGTGTGTGTGTGTGTGTGTGTGTGTATGTGCGTGCACTGTTGGCTGAATCGATAAAAGGCCTCGCCACCATCGACTCTCCATTTCTGTAATGATCCCCCCCCTGGAAATCTCTGCAAGCTGCGGGGGGGGGACCCGTCAGGGTCTGGCTGACTGCATGATGACGGCCACCTGCGATGCCCATAATTGTGTTACACCTCAGCACTGGACGGCGCCATGGGGAGGACAGTGTAGTGCTGTCTTCGCCCTTTTAAAAATAGCTGAGGCAGTTCTGTCGGTTCTGACCCCTCCCATACCCCCCCCGCTATCCCACAATCCCATAACAAGCTGGTGACCCACTGCACAGTTAGTTGGACGCTTTACAGTCCCGCTCGCCTTTGATGGGGGCAAAGGTCAGAGCTTCCGTGTCCTCCTGACCCCCAGTGGCCCTGAAAGGGCAGTGTGTGTGTGTGTGTGTGTGGGGGGGGACTGGCAGCCCCCTTTATACACAACGGCAGCTAAAAGGTTTCTTTTGTGTTCTGCCATGACATCACCCCAGCCGGTCCCCCGGCAGCAGAGAGCACTCTGCATGTGACAAGGAGGGTGGCTTTGTTTTTGCGTGTAGGAAAGCTGTGCGTGTATGTGCATGTGTGTGCGTGCGCGTGTGCGTGCATGACCTCTGCTTTTCCAAAGCACCCGCTGTAATACTATATCGAGCAAATGCATTTATGCAACTCACCCCCCCTCCTCTACATTTCCTACAACTAATGCTAAAATGATCCATCCTGGGGGGGATTCAGTCAGGAACACGCAGGGACTCGCAGGCTGGGATGTTCCGCTTGGGATTGAACCGTCCAGGTGGGCCTCCAGCGGGGACACGACAGCCTCAGACTCATCCCGGATTTTACCCAGGCTCCTCTTTGTGTGGGATAAAGTTTCCAGAGGTTTCATGCTCACGGTGTTTCAGGTGTTTTTTTCTCTAATTTATTTTTAATGAAATAAAAATCCAAAGGCAAAGCTGGTCTTGTCAGCAGATACCAAAAATGGAAATAAATACAGCTGGACCTTAATCCGCCACTCTGTGTGCTGCACTCAGCCTCCCTGCACCATCCATCGGAATCCCCCCTACCCCCGCTCTGAAAATCCTGTCTCAAATCCTGCAGGGAATCAGCAGATACACACTGGTGCCCTTGAATTGGTGGTGAAAGAGGCTGGTGGCAGCAGGATGGCTGGGGTGTCTGGGCTGATAAGGCCAAGAGTGTGTGGGGCCTCAGAGCCATTTATCCCTCTATTTATTCATTCAGCCGTTCCTCTCAGGGTGGCGTCCACAAGCTTAGGGTCTCTGTCCCAGAATCCTTTGGTCTCCATTCCAGTTCGGTTCGCCACTCCCGAAAGTGTATTGAATAAACCTCAATATGGCTTTAGATTAATTTAATTCTCTTCTTATTGACTTATTTTGTGTAGTGGTCTGTTTTTTAATGGCTGTGTTTGCCAAAACCTAGATTGGAGTGATGTAAATATTTTAATATTTCATGATATTTGTCATTCTGCCGGTCTCCTAGCATTCCCTCTGCCAGGGCGGGAGTAGTTCAATCTTTTATGAGGAAACTGCCCTCAGAAAGATGTCGTAAAGCAAAAATTTAGCTGATGTAAAGGGTAGTGAAAAGGGTGGGGCAGTGAAGGAGACTATGGAGCACCCGTAACAAGATAGATAACAGCAAGGGGAGGGAGGAACAGTGATCGCCCCCCCCTCCCATCAAGCACTGGCCCAAAGAAACCCCTTGGTGGCTCTGCCAGAAATGAGTGGGCGGGGCCAGTGAAACTGGAGGAGCCTCGCTGTGTCACGTGCTACGCCAGGCGGCAGGTCCCTCTGTGTCCTTATCGCGCGCGGACAGGTTTTAACAGCTCCCAGTGGCTTGTTCTGTTCTCAGAATACAAGATGAAGCGAACGCGACCTCTTGTCCTCTCTGTGGGCCTGCAGCTTCATTTATACTGTTAGCATAGCGGTAGCCTATGCTAACGGTAATGCTAACGCTAATCCTACCCAATCCCTTAGGAAATGTGCCAGGCAAAGGCCTATTGACATGGCTGAGATCGCACCTGCATAGAAAAGCCTGCCAACGTGAAGTGGGAGAATCTCATTACTGGGGAAGATGATCGGCCCTTAGGTGTCTAATCAGCCCTCCGCACAGGCTCGGAGTCATTTCCCATCATACTGATATGACTCTCTCATTTTGACAGCTGCCTCTCTCTCTCATACGTGACCTTGAGTCAAACACGCAAACTGAATGTTGTTTACGCTATAAACATCTTTTGGAGGTTTTCCCTAAAATGAGGGGTTGGAAAATGTAAACATCAGCTGTTGTTTTATTTTATGACTAAACTGCAGCCCAGCGGTTCTCTGAGAATCATGCCGGCGCTTCTGCAGGCTCCCAAATTCCCATCAGTCTGGCCAGTGTCAAGCCGCAACAGACACGCTACACCCTCACTGGGAGCCTGGGCTGCTCCAGTGCGCCCCCTACTGGTCCCCGGTCTTCAGCAGAAAAATGCATTCCGTGGATGTCGCTAACCAGTGTTGAGGTTCCAGTCTCTGGCTGCTTCTGAGCAAATAGAGACAGACTGTCGGTAGTATGAGGGATAAAACTCCCAAAATCTGACAAAGGGACACCTACAGACCCCCCCCCCCAAGCCGGCGATGCGGCCCGCCTTGCTGTATACCTGCGTGAATACGAGAGTGACAGTTTGAATAACAAGCACCCCCGTAATTTAACTCCAATTTCTGTGCCTCTGAAATCTTGATTGTGTTGAATATTCAATAAACAGGCAAATCTTCGAAAAGCTCTGAAGCGATACAAGGCTTGTTATGGAAACCTTTTATGGAATAAAAATCTGTGTGAGGTTCTGCCCCACAGGCAGATCACGTACTGAAAGCTGTCTGTTTTCTGACATATGAACCAATTGGCAATAAAGCAGATCAATAGATTGATCATGGGTGCAGGAATTTTCATTCAAGTATTAACAGTGACTAGTGTGACTGGACAAGGTCTTTGTCTTACTGGTTACATGCAAGTACCTCCTGTATAAAAATCACTTTACTTGCATGAGGTTACTTGTGCACATTTGCTTTGCTGAGCGGTCTTGACGTCCCCCCCACCACATGCACAGATGAGTCAGACAGACCAACGGTAGCTGCCCACAGATCATCAGATCTTAATTAAATATGTTAAAGGTGTACAGGGTAGTAGCTACTGAATTGTTTAATCCTTTCTGCTATTTTAGGAAAATTGCATTTTAGGTTTTGTTTGCTGTTGTACAAAAATACTGTTGTGAATGATAATGACTATTAATGTGTTTTCTTAACATCTGCCAGTCATTATATGCTGATATTCAGAGGTGGAAATATCAGGTCCAGAAAGTAAAAATCCAGACTAAGATTTACTTTCAATGAGCCAGCTGAGTACTCTGTGACTGTAAGTCTTAATGCTCAACTGGTTGGTTGAAACAAAATCTCGGTCTGGATTTTTACTTTCTGGACCTGGAATTTCCACCTCTGCTGATATTTCATTTTAAATCATGCATGGTTCCTTGTGTAAACGGTTAATGGGCATGTTTCTGGAGTGCAGGCCTTTAAGAGGTTAATAATTAATGCTTCATGGGGTCTGTGGAATGAGCAGAGGCAGTGTAAGAGGAGGTCTGTGTCCCTTTCCTCTGCCACCCCCCCATTCCCAGCCGTCCCTCACGCCGAATCCGCCTCCATTGTGTCCCTCATTCGTGAGCCGTGATCTTTTTTTGATGTTGTTGCCGTCGTCAGGCCGGTTCTTGTTTTGTTCTTCCCCTCTCTGCCTTCATCTGTCGCTCACTCTCGGGAGGGAGGGGAGGAGGGGGAAAGAAAGAGCAGGAAGTGTAGAAAAAAACAGCCGAGAGAAACCAGGAAGTGAAGCAGCCTGTGTGCAAAGTGAAAGTGGAGTGGAGAGGATCGGCTGTAGAGTGTGGTTCTGCTCTGCTCTGCGCTGTGCTGTGCTGCGGGTGCCTCTCTCTCTGCTCCCCAACGCCCAGGCTGCCCCTCTCCCTGCCTCCGGACTCCGCTTTGCTGTCACAGAGGGGACAGACAGCAGCTACGTGAAGGAACCGGCCAGGACTGCGTGCTGGATTGGAGCAGGGAATGGTAGGCCCTTGGTAGGGGAGGGGGG